TGTAAAAAACACGTAATTATTAATAAGCTATGTGAAAAAATGGATAAATAAAAAAAAATCAATCCTTAATCATTTAAAAATAATGTTGCATACACATAAATTAAATAAATCAATTGAAACTATATAAGATTAAATTTCGTTATGCGACGCACTTTTGGGCAGTGTGTCACAGCTGCATTAATATATGCACAACACAACAGCAAGTGCAAAAGGGACACCTTTTTCAATGCACGGCATTAACAGTGAGAAGCGTCGCCCAAGGGATACTACTGACGAGGGTCGGAGTTGCAGTGGACATATTTCCCACAAAATTAAACTGGACAAACCAGTTTCTTAGACAACTGTAAGGAGTTATTTGCGAACCCTTTGACCGTTCGTGCTTACGGTAATTTCACAAGGATTATTCGTCGTATTATTGTTTGCGTTCTACACACTACGATGTGGTCTTTGTATTTTTGTGTCGGAGAAGTTCATGACTGTTAGGTTAGTTTTCTTTTTTGAACATCGATCCTAGAATTTCACACAGCTGTAAAAAACACACCATAAGCCTAAGTTACAAGTTTTTCAATGACATGTTAGTTTTACGCTATATACGTATTACGAGTAGCAGGTGAATATAAAATCATTCTGATTTTCTTTTATGTAATAGTACCTGGGCGACCAACGGCCAGGTTAAAGTTTTTTCTTTTATGTTTGTCCGTACAATCGTGTTTTTGGTAATATTACTCGATAAAGTTATTTATTTTCACACAATGTCACATAGGTCCATTTCACAAAATGCAAATACAAGTAGAAGTTATGAAATGGCACTATCTGATCTTCCTTGCATAATACGATTAGCTACAAAAAAAGTGTTAGAAGAGTTAAAGACACCTAGTTTAGTTTACCTTTTAAAATTTTAAAGGCAAAACCTATACATTGAGAAATCTTGATCCCAATCGTTACAGCCGTTTTCATAATATAAAGCTTTAAATGTGTTAGGATCTAAACAAGGTTTGCAATGAATAAACAATACGAAAGTCAATCTCATCAACATAAAATATTAATTATAAATGTTCCCCCAACAGTGCAAATGGCAGCCCGGTTGTAAAACTTTGATAGGGAAATTCAATTTGACCATATTGAGGTTAAGAATTTACTGCTTATTTTTGTTCGGTCTCCTAAAAATGTCCTAAGGAATTTACTATATTTAGATTACTATATATTTTCAATTATTATTAAGATGATGATTACTTTTGAAAACTTTTAAGCTCGGTAACTATAAGTTGCTTGGTTGACATATTTTAGTTGGGAAGTTTAGTTATTATAAAGTGTACTTAACAAACAAATTAGCATAATGTGAAGACATTTATAGTGTTTAAGTACGTTTTTAAGTTATTTCCCAAAGATATTTAATATTTTTAGTGATGGTGGCAAAGGTAGAAATGATATTATCTGTAGAAAGTGATTCATGAAACATGTCTGATCACTGAGCAAGCACTGTCTGTTAAGTTAGACATAATCGCTTACCTGACTTGCTTTAAAGCTTTATAAGTCCTATTCATTTGAAAATTCAATGGCTTCGATTTGTTTTATATGACAATATGGTAAGTACGCTGACGGTTCACCTCATGATATCATACTACCGACCACGGATCTTCATCATATTTCCACCATTTGAAGAAGTGGAACCCGGTTTCCTCACTTATTATATGAAACACAGAACTGTAATACTAGTATATGTATATATGGCGACGGTACTTTCCCGAAGGAGCCTGCCCATCGGTGCAACAGCAAATCTACTACGTGGCCATACTACAATAAAAATTTGAAGTTAGTTCGGAGGTGATGAAATATGAAAGTCAAAGTAAACAGTATCATTATTATATTGCATAATGGATCCCCATGGAGTTTTTACTACAGACGACGGCGGTCCATTGATATTTTTTGTCATCTCAGTCGCGTGACATACAACAATGAAAAATCTTTAGGAGATGGGGGTTCAGTTTGACGCAACCCTAAATATTGTTATAATAAATTGTCTTGTACTCTGTTTTAACGTAGTGTATATTAAATTTTGGTTTGTTTACCTGTCTGTTGCGATATTAAAAATGTAATTGCATTTTAATCACCACGTATTCATGTAGGTGGAAGTATGTATATATCTAACTAGCGACCCGCCCCGGCTTCGCACGGGTGCATTATACATATAAACTTTCCTCTTGAATCACTCAATCTAGTAAAAAAACGCATCTCAATCCGTTGCGTAGTTTTAAAGATCTAAGCATACATTGGGACAGACAGTCAGCGGGACGACTTTGTTTTATAGTATGTAGTGAATTTACTGCATTCTTCACCGAGCATTAGCTATGAATAAACATAAAGGGGAGGCTTTATGGTCAGCAGCGGACTCAAACAGTCTGAAATGATGATGATGTAGATGAAACGTAAATATTGACATTAATACCAGACGTATTATAAAGCAATATATAACCTGTTACATATTTATATGCCGCTATAATGAGCATCTTTTATTCGCGATCTTTATTTTTATAATTAAAAAAATTATATTGATGTCATAGTTCTAACATTTACCTATGTGTAATTAATTATGTATTACCATTTTTCGCACAAGAATTCCAGAGTTACAAATCGAAAAAATATATTTCCCATGGCCGTAAACCAGTCAAACAATTCAAGTCTATGAAGTCCGATTTACGAAGACAGCGAATTTTGATTTTTTTTCTTTGTCAAACGGTGAAGGGCTCGTCCAAAACCAGTTTGACCACTTCGCAGGGTGGGAAAGGGCAGTTTTTAAGTGACCCTTTATTTGCATAATGTCACGTCACCTTGACATTCGGTCGTCAAGTTCAGTTATCGAAAATATTTATTAAACTTACTAGTTGAATAACCAGTAAACTTAAGAAGTATTTGCGTGGTTACAGGTATACAGTTTTTTCAAATATAAATGATATTTAAAAACCGGCCAAGTGCGAGTCGGACTCGACGAAAGGTCGCACGAAGGGTTCTGTATCTATAAAAAAGGCAAAAAAAATTATGTCTACTGCATGGGAACCCCACATAATTATTTTTCAATCTGTTTTGTAGTATTTGTTTTTATAGCGGTAACAGAAATACATCATCTGTGCAAATTTCAATAGTCCAACTATCACGGTTCATGAGATACATCATGGTGATAGACGGAAAGACAGGCAGACAGACAGACATATAAGCAGACAGATAGACAGACAGCGGAGTCTTGGTAATAGGGTCCTGTTTTACCTTTGGGTACAGGACCCTAAAAACTAACACATAAGTAAGTTTATTACTATTCCTGCTTATTAATTTGCTATTTACTAGGTCTTGAATTTTTGTTTCGTAATGTATGAAATAGGATATTTATATGTATGAAATAATAAATAATGGAATATAAAATTCTTGGAGAGGTAAACTTTTCAGAAATATGTGACAGTATTTAAAAGAAAAAGGTGTGTATTTATGTACGCATGTAAGAAATTATTATTTAATCTGATTTTATTGTGTTATGAACTTTTTGACGGTGTATCAGATGTACACAAGCTGAGAATGACGCACCAATAGCAGCAAGTGTCAATACCTTTTTTGTCCCTTTTTTCAAAGAACAACAACATCAATAAGAAGGGTTTCCCAAAGGACACTCACTAGAGACAAGGGTTGAAGTTTCAGTGGACGCATTTCTCACGAAATCGAACTGGACAAACCAGTTTCTAAGACAAAAGCGAGGAGTTGTAAGCGAACCTTTTGACCGTACAGATTGTACGTGCTAACGGATCTTATACAAGGATGATTAATAAAAATACGGCATTATTGTTTGAGATCTATAAAGGCTGACTTCATCTACTTGGATAGCTTTATGGCCGTTACCCTTTTAAATACTTATTTATAGTGATTTCTAAATTACTTACGTGGATCACCAGTTGATCCTTACTTTATATCGGAATTTATGCTGAGAGGTGGTTACTCATTTCAAATTAAAGTAAGTGACATAATACGGCCAATTAATTCCTTGGTAGAAGACGGTGAAATACCTTGGGTTCATTTTTGACACCAAAATGTCATATAAGAACTCCTCTATGAAATGCCCTTAAGGCATAAACATCTACCATACAAGACTTGCGTACGACTTGTAATGTTTTACGATCGTATATGTTTGTATATGTTCCTCAAACACATCTGCCAAAACTTTAGGCAGTGAAAAATAAATTTATCCTCATTTCAATCGGTACATTCTGGTATAAAAAAGCGTCGCCTACAAAGCAGTGAACGTGAAGCGAGCAATATATAGAAATTACAAAAAGGTTATTGAGCAGAGAAGACTTTCGTCCTAATATTCTGGTAGTAATCGCAAAAAATTATCATTTGATTACTAACGCAACCGTTCGGATACGTCGTCTGTATCGAATAGGCGAAAGGAACGAACGTATTTCGTACGTCGCGTTCTAAAATTGAGTAGTACTTCTAGGTGACGTATCGAATCGAGGTTGACACAGATATGAAAGACAAAGTCAACTTTTTTTATTCAATATACTGAATAAAAAAAATGACTGACTAGTAGTAGAAATTAGACTCTCGCTTATAGGCCACTTTTAAGCTATTATTGAATGTCAAAAAAACTACCAATGGTTAAAAAATTTAGACTTGTCCAGAGAAGAACCAACTTTCTTAATATATACAAAGCAAGATGTAAAACCAGCAGTAGCCAGGGGACCTGCAAGCACCGAGCAAGAGTCAATTCCGCACACCCTTGTCTTCGATGTGCAGCCACAAAGCCACATAATCCTCTTTTTCTAAACGTTCATCTTCTTTTTCAAAGAAATATTGAGACTTCATTAAATAGCTGTAGAAAGTAATAAATACGAAATAAATACCATGTGTTATACAAAGCTAATTAATTTATTAATAAATAACACTTAAACGAAAACAATTGTCTACAATTTACTTAAATGTATCATTAGAAATATGACATTAATGCTAATTAGTTATCTATAGTTGGGATTTTTGATAAGAGGCTGTAAGACGTAGGCTTGGCCAGTGGCTCTGTCCACAACGTGTCCAGTAGTTGGCTCTAAAAACAGGCGTGGGGCGTTGGCAGCTGCGGTCACTTGTCTTTCCGGATGCTGATGCTGCCTGATGCCAGCACCACCTTCGTAGGGAACATAGAGCTTATCTTCTAACTGCCTGGCCTGATGATTGTTAGGCTCTTGAGTTTCTCTTTCTTTGTGGCCAACAACTAATACTATTTGATTCTTCTCCCTAGCTTGTTCGGGTCTATCTCTACTGTTTTCACGAGCGGTTTGTTGTTGTTTGCTGGTACGCTGTTTCTGATTTGTATATTCTTGAGGCCTTTCCTCCTCACTACTTTCGTCTGTTTCATAGTTCTCGGGAACCGTTTGGGTCTGTTCTTTGTTTTTCGTCTGTTTGAACGGCCTTTGCGTCGACTGCTGCTCGGTGTTCTCCTTTCGCTGCTGACGTTTTACCTTCGAATGGGCTCTTTTCGCTCTACCGCTTTCTTCGTATTTCGCCTCAGCTTCCGGGTCGTATTCGTCTGATCGATAGTTATGCGATTGTTCACTCGGCTCGTAGTACGAATCTTTGCCATCTTCGTCGTGATAGGAGCCGTCGTCCGAGCTGTCGTATCCATCGTCACCGTGGTTCCCAGCGTGCCCCGCGTGATTTAAGTCCCAATAGTGTTCGCCGTAACCACCTTTTTTGTCGCCCCAACGGACCTAAATTCGGTAAGAATTCGATTATTTACAAAATTCCTATTTGCAGTAATTTTCATTTTATAATGAGAATGAAATAAGCTTATCGATAATTCCAATTAGAAAAAAAGGCTTGTACATATTACATTAGATATCAAAGGTAAGAAGAGCCGAAGGTTAAGAAATATTAATGCACAAGTAAAGGTTAACGGTTAATTTAGTCAAGAAAGTCATAGGCGAGAAAGATACATCAAAGAGAGGAATTTCAAATCGAATAGTTAGTTACACAGAACAACCAATAGGAATAACAGTTTAAGCGCAAGCGTACTTTAGCAGAGAATAGTCCTGTCGAAGGCCGGGCACGCTCATGCCTCTCGGTGAAGTGATGTTCACTGCCCAAACGGTGGCCCTGATCGTAGTCCTCGTGGGTCGGCAAATGCCTATATCTGCAGCCAAGCCAAGCGAAGCGCGACAGAGAAAGAAACAGAATGTGGTTAGACACAAAGCGAGAGGCAAAATGTTTACTTTTCCCATGTCCCTGTGGTTCTTATAGTCTTTCCTCTCGTAACGCTGCTCCCACGTGTTCGGGTCCTCGCAAACGTGACCGAACTCAATCTTGTACGGACTCAACTGTACCGAGAAAAAGTCCCTATAAAGTAAATATATCTTGATCATTCCAATGCTGTGGTCCAATTCGTTTCATGAGTCATTTTTATGCGTGTTTTAATACTAAAAACATTTTTGTCTCATTTAGTTTAATGATATTAACTCCTTATTACTTCACTTCACTAATCATTTGGTGTACATACAAATTCCCAATAAAATGTCCAAATAAATTTAACATTTCCATGAAATTTCTTTGCGCGAGAAGAGGCGGCGAATAACTCCGCTATCGAATATATATTCTTTTTTGTTACAAAAAATACAAATTCAATTATCTCTGTCACACGTATGTATTGTGACGTTTTTCAGTCGTAGAACAAGAGTGCGACAGAGGTAATGCTCTATAAAATAAAATAAAAAAATTAAAGCTGGGCGAAGGCCTTCTCTGTTCAGAGAGCAACAGGGCATAGTCCACCACAAAATATTTTTTTTATTATTTTGAAAATATTCCGGTTTCCTTACGATATTTTCCTTCACCGCTGAGCACGTGATGAATCAGCACTTAACATTAACAATTTCATTGATGCCTGTACCCTGGATTGAACTCAGGTTGCTCGAGTATATTGAATTGAAAGCGAGCGCCTAAGTCTCTTTCCAAAGTCGATGAGCAATATTTATCATAGAGTATACCGTTACTTATAAACCAAGAATGGAAATACTAACTGGAAAAATTTTGCTTGCGCTTCAACGGTAGCTGGATTCTTGGGTGGTGTGAGAACTTTCACGCATCTCACAGACTTCATAGCTGGTCCCGAAATAATCAGAACGTACCACAGCCATATCTGAAAAATAAAATTGAAATAAAAAACTAGTAAAATGCAAACGCTATTGGGCCTATTACGTATCGGCATAGGAACTTTGTGTAATGCACAAGCGCTGTGTGCATATTATTTATTAGGAATTGAATTATCAGATCTGCATTTAGATTATAGTTTTGCTTATATCTTTTATATATGAATTATGTAACATTTACTAGTTCCTTTATAAAGTTACAGTATACAAAATATAAAATGGGTAATGTATACAATATACATTAAAAAATAATCATTACGAAGTCATGACATGAGTTTTCATGAAATGTTGTTGTTTTACATAGGTCCATCCAATGTTTAAGAATAAACACAAAAATAAACAAATGTTAAGCTAATAAGAATTAGCCGTTAAAGAAAACGTCATTATATACCTCAACTACCTATTTAGAGATTCACTATAGCAAAAAAACCTTATAAGATTAATTATGACACAAAAAGAAATATGTTTAAATGAGGTAAATGCATTATTATTTACTTCATTTTTGGTGAGGTTTGTGGTGTCAAAATGAATGAGTAGGAACATCAATTAGGGGAATATAAAATTAACATAACATAACCGTTAATGATAACGTGAAGAGATACCTGTCGAACACTCATAAAAAAAATTCACGATAGCAAAAAAATCTTACAAGTTTATTATTAGAAATAAATATGTTATATACATTATTATTTACTTTAATTTTTCTGAGATAAACCATGTAACCATACACTGTGACAAATGAAATTTTATATGGAAATGAGCCACTAACTATACAAAAACACGTTTACGTAGATAATAAAACACTTGTGATAATAACTAAATCAACTCCAAAGTTATTACTATCGTTAACGAAATAACATTTTCGTAAGGAAATAAAACACTCGAACGAAAACCGGATTCACTTTCACTAAATATCAAACTGTTCACTTCTACGAATATTTCTTCAGACAAGTTTCTGTAAAAATAATTAAAAGCTATTTTATCGTATTAAAGTAATGATGGTTGACTACCGTGGTGTCTAGCCGACGTTGACTCATCTCGAATTGTTGACAGTGGATGAGAGTTTACCATAACTGCAAGTTCATTTATAGATACCGTAGAAAAGGCGATTCGGAGACAGTCTACCGTGTCGGATACGATGCTCAAACTGTTGTTGATTTATTTTGTGTCATTCTTCAACTGGTAATTAACTGAGATAGGGTATTTATATTGGATTGATGGAAGGAATAAACCTTAATAATATAATTGAAGGCTCTCCAATTTAGATTCTACGGCTGTTATTAAATTTATTTGTACTGGAATTAATCGTGTTCACCTGATTGCGAATAAACTGTTCTGTGTTGCAAATATATCTATGTATTATTACCAAAAAGCATTTTTTGTCGGTGTCCCATAATTTCCCTAATTATTATTCGTCATCTTAATGTTTCAAAGGTTTAATGATAGAATAAATTTAATTTCTTCATAAGACTTTCGTTTATAAATTTCTTATAAATAACACATGATCAACATTGATATATCATATAAAAGAAAGATAAAAAAATCTTCAAAATGAGATAAATATTTTTTTGCACATTGTTGTATCACCATTCGGTGATGATCAGAGTATTGTGCAAAATTTCACGGTTTAACTAGTTTTAATTGAAGCTAAAACAATAACATCTAAAATATTGGCTTATCGAAGTTCCATTAAAGTAATGCTGCCTGAACAGTGACAGATTTACCAAAAGGAAAACTGATATTATGATTAGGAACAAAGATCTCTAGCTTAAGTATATGATTATGAAGAAAAAGGTATTGAAATTAATTATTTTAAAATTTGTTGTTGCATTTACATTTGCAACACCCGCAGTGTTGGAGAAGTGTGCCACCTTTTAATTAAGTGGACTACCTCACTACGAAACGCAGAAGTATAACACTTCCAGTTTATGCCGGTCTTCGGTGATAAGTTTTATAGTAAATGTCATAATCTTGGTATATAAATAATGGTATATTGCTCCTTTTTGTTTTGTCAACGAATTTGTGGCCAGCCTGAAATTATCATCGCAGATAAAAACAAACGAATTAATACAATCTCTATTGTCATATAAAAACTATGACAGTCATAATCAATATGAATATACAATCTGTATTATAAATCTAGTATAATACAGATATTTACTAAATATAATATTAATACTCATGTATCTTTCTCCCTTCATATTAATACTCAGGCAGCTTTTTTGTGTCGTTTATGAGATTACGATTTCTTATGCCAATTTCGTTAAAACCTCATTCTCAATGACTACTCTAAACTGGATTAAGCAATGAGCTAATAATAAATGACTGACAATTTAACAATTTAATGAAACTGAACAATTTAATTGACAACATTTCTTAACACGAACGTAACTATGATAGATCATGAAACTGTTCAGTACTACGACTAAATAGTAAGTATATATATATATATACTGTAAGGAACAATATCATTACTATAAACTGAAAGTTTCTGGGGCTGATGTATCTTTAAAAAACTACATAAGAATGATGTTAAAAGCATCATTCAAGAAAGAAAAAGACATGTATCTTAGAGGTAAGAAATCCAAAATGGAATAAACTATATGGGACAAACCCATACTACACACTAAGACTCATATTGGTGCTATTAACTTCCGGGACTAATGTCGTCTTTTCCTACACTTGTCTTATCAGATACCATCAATAATGCAAAGATGTCTTTATTTTCGATATATTTTTTTTTTTAATTTCATCAGTTCGTATAGTGGGAATCGAAAAATTTTATCGGTGATGACACTTGTCATTGAACTCAGATTTCTCAAGTGTGCCAAATAAAAGTGGATGCCTGAACATTGAGTTACCACGGCTTTAAATAATGCCAAAAAAAAGTCTTCGCAACATGTCACAGTAATGAGGTACCAGGAAATTTCTTAAAACTGTCGTTTTGAAAACGATTTCCAAATCTGTCCGCGTTGTGAGATTTTATAAGAAAGGATACAATCGGGTACCTACTATGTATTTTCGAATGTTATCAAATGTCAAAGCGTCGATGACATTAGGATTGATGAACATAAAATGACGCCATAAAGGAAAAAGAAGAAGAAGAACAACAATTGGCATTAGTTTTTGTAGCAACAAAAACTAAAGCATGCAATGCTGTCACCTTCAAGTTAAGTTCATTTCTGTTCTTCTGGAGTCTTGTTCATTTTAAAAATAAAGCAATGAATTCAATGTTATACGGCAGACGTCGCCGGTCTCTTAAAAACCTCGTTGCGGGAAAAAATTAGATTATGCGAGCGAAAATTCGCTCCAACTTTTTCCACCTCTCGTAACTGACGCCTTCGTAATTGCTTTTTACATAATTCGGAAGCGATTGGAAACAAATGGAGCGACCGAGCATTAAGCGGCGTTTCGGAGAGTTCGAGAGGAAAGTGTCTAATTGTGTTTAGTCGGCGTGTAATGACCCGCCGTTGCGCAAGTTCACGCAATAATTAGCACCCGCTGTTGCGTTAATAGAATCGTCGATTGCACTGATTCAGTTGCAGAGGTGAAACTTCTAAACTGCAATTAAAGGCATTTGTAAATGACGAATATTTAGGAATTTTCCTTTTTCTTCATAATAAACAACTACAAAAAGTACGAATTTCACCATATGGTAAAGTAAACAGTCTATATATGTCCTACTGCCACGCGAAGGCCTCTGCTGTACCTACAGAGGGTATTATGGCATGTCCACCACGCGACCCCATTGCGGATTGGCAGACGTCGCATGTCTCAGGTTTTCTTTGTCATTATTTCGAAAATATGCAGATTTCACTCACAATTCACCTTCACCGCTAAGCAAAGTGGTTCACCATGTGGAGTCTCCGCGAATTGGTAGATTTAACAATTCTTTGCCTCTTATGTTTCCTCTAATATCAATAAACAAAAGATTGTCAAGCTATACTATATTTATTGTAGTACCTGGAGGACCGAGCTTTGCTCGGTTTGTTACATTTAGATACAAATTACATTTAGATACAAATGACTAAGTAATGACATATGCATAATATTTTTCGATCTTACCGACATAATAATAAGAAACTATGAACTGGTGTTTTTCACAAAAGAAAGAACTTTAAAAAATAGGAAAAAAATAACAAAATAAGAAATCGACAAAAAATAAAAGATAGAGAAAGCAATGATCGGGAATCGAAAAAAAAAAAAGTGTGTAAATGATCATGATACGAACCGCGGCTGTCTGTTTTGGGGCCACCCGATTACCAAGCGAGCTATTATAAATTTAAGTCTGACCCGTGACTATGAAAGCTTTCTAGCATTCATAGTCACGGGTCAGACTGAGGTATTACACGTCTGAGTGTCATTATTAGCTCGGGTTAATGCCAATTATCAAAATTATTAACTTTGTGTCCAATCTACGTAGAACGTACTAATTGAGTCTTGTCTTGCAATTATTATTCCTTTGGACGTAGATTTCATTTTTTAATAATTATGATCCCAAAGTAATACCAATAAACTCTTTTCTCTTTTCAAAATTGTATGCTTTTTAATTTAAATAGCCTCACAAATCATCGATGTTTTTTTTTTTTCAAGGATATGTGGTCCATCAAACCTGATATAGTGATTTTAATGTTTAATAGTCTACTCACAGACTGCAGATTTGATTGGTCTATTTTATGCCAGCTTTATGTTCCATCACATAAATTTTTACTGCCGTCGTTTTTCGTTATATGTAAGAAAAAAAGCCCACATTCACAGTCAAGCTTACATGCTTTAGGAACTTTCAGAGGGATGCACTTGCCAAATGGTCAAGTCTGGCTAATCGGCAGAATTTTCAGCGGCTTGTAAAAATTTTTAATCGATACCTGCCGTAAGATGTAGCCAATCGTATCGGTGTCTTGGCATATTGTAGAAAAGCGGTTACTCGCTCAACTGCGACTGGTTTCAATCGGTAACTGTGACGTAGATGAAGTACTTCACTTCTAATCATGCAGAGCTTGCTTGACTTATTATCGGCCAGGTGTTCTTTGTCACAACCCCTGTGCTGTTCTTATGTGCTGTCTGAAACAAAGTTTTACCCACGGTTGCCAAAAGGGACAAGTCCACTACCTGTACCTTAGAATCACCTTTTAGGCATCAATTTGTATGAGTTGTCTTTCCATATACAGTACACCTTTATTGTTATTTTCATTTCGAATGACCAAAACCCCTAGGATAGCTAAATAGCTACATTTCTCCTATTAAATGGTGCGTTTTGGAATTTAGACAGTTAAGGCGATACTGTTTTCCGGCACTTCGTTCTACTTTAAGTTTTAGTTAAAATTAAGTCAGTCTTCTGTTAGTAGGTACGTAAATAACGACCGAAAAGGATCTCAAAACTATGGCCAGTTTCAGGTCTAGTGTCTTCTGCAAAACATTTGAAACATCGGGAATTAAAATTAAAAACAAACGCAAAATTCGTAAATCCGTAAAGATTTTTTATTTAGTAGATAAAAGGTTTTATAGAATTTTTCTCACGGCGACAGAAAGTTTTAATTACATATTAATTTTAATATTAACAGAAATACTACATGTGATTGATTATTCTTTCACTCAAAGTTAGACCTAGAGGAAATAATTTATTCACTTTCAACAATCTAACAAGTGATATCTCTGAGTAGATTAGATGTCTTTGTAATAATATAACAGATTAAACAATTAATTTTGTTTAATCGAGACGAGGAAAAAAATTCTCAGCAGATTTATTTAAACACACTAACATTTAAAAGCTGTAACAAAACTATAGATAAAAAATAATAACTAGCTTGTGCGTCCAACACCGAATCGAATCTATAACAAATAATACCGCGGCTACTTTCACACGAGCGTTGCCGATTTAAATTGGGCTACGTCGAACAATGAGCATTGAGAAACGCGTCATTGGGAAAGTATGTCAGATCGGTACACTCAGGGACGCAAATGGCCGACCGAACTGTCGAATGATTAAACATCAAAAAGACTTTTTCTTAGAGTTGAACAGCGACCGAGCAAATTAGCTAACATCTGGTATTTAAAGAAACTTGGGGTAATTAATTCAAAAAATAATAATAACCAAAAATAACGAATAATGAGACATAAAAATATTTAACACGAATAGAAAAGTAATTGTGATGTGTTAGATTAAAAAAAAAAATATTTGTGGATATAATTAGTTTAATTTTTTACAACAATATCAACTTCTTTTTTGTTTTATTCTGTTAAGTCTACTCGCCAACTTATTAACATGGGACCCCCATTATAATTTGTCATCTATAGTTATACCAAATAATACAGTCGAGTCAATAGAGTCTAGTACTCGTATAAAAGTAAATAAGTTTTTACATGTTTCACATTGGGAGTTGTCAAGGTAATACAATTGAAACTTAAAATTTTTCCAGTTGGTAAGTTTTAGAGTTAGAAAAATATATGCAACTATTCCTTAGCGTCTTCCCTAATTCTCCCTAAATATTATTTAACACCTTTGCGGCTATACCATAATCATCATCATTTCAGACTTTACAAGTCCACTGTTTAATAATAAATCCAAAGACACCTGCATCCATCGATGCACATTGGCGCAAGTTGTAACTCCATCTAGTGAGAGGTCATTCTACACTACGGTGGCCAATACGAGGCTACCACTCGAGAACCTCTCTTCTCCATTGATTATCGATTCTTCACCTATATGACCGGCCCATTGCCATTTCAGCTTACTAATCAACTAATATGTCGTTAACCTTTGTTCTATTGTGGATGTCTTCATAGCTCGCTTAGACTTTGAACTTCCTCCTGCAGCGAGCATTGAAGTACCAAATCTAGGTTCCGTAGGTAATACCATAACAATATCGAACTAGCTTTTACCCACGTTTTCTTACATTATACGTTTATTCGTCGTGAAGTAGAATATCACGCTCCGCCTGGTGAGCGAGGTTTCAATTTTTTTAAAGTTGGTTTTTCTTCAAGTTTCACTTGGTTTCATTGGAGATTTTTTTCATGTGCTTGCCAATCGACGTTCACCTGATGGTAAGTGAATACCGCCGCCCATGGACGACGGTAATCTTACAATGCGTGACCCGCTTTTGAAGATTGGGCTCCGGCCACTACTTTCTTGCGTCTTTAGTAAAAAGGATTCATAATCATGAACATAAATAATTGGAGATTACGTTATATCCTAATGTTCAATGACCCACGACTCGGAGGAAGGGGATCCCGTTCCGTGCATTTTGGACGGCGTCGTAACGCGGCGAAGCGTAAAATCGTCCAACTAGAAAGTGTACTGAATTCGTTTTCTTTCTAGTTTATAAGAGAGCGATCTGCGACGTGCCTGCCATTGGTGACTGGAAAAGTCGACTGCTGCCGAATATGGATCGACACATTTTCGTGAGTGACTAAAGAACACTTTTTTGTACACTTAGCCAACGCTATTCAAGTAGTTTTTATAAGAGGATGTAGGAGCCAAGCTGCTTATCCGATGTTAAGTGATCCATGGACATACACAATACTTGTAAGGTAATGCGGTGCCTTTAAGGAAGTGGGTCTCTAGATATGAACTACTGTACGCCCTTCTGCGAGGTTATAGTATATCTTCGGTAAAACTACTCGTTTTGTGGAGCAGCAAAAGCTGCTGTGTCACACAAATTAAAGCACACGAGACGTGATAGTTTAATAATTTACACCAGTTACAAATAAAATGTAATAAAAGCAATGAAAGTGTGTTATGCGCTTCGCAAATGTCAAGGCTGATGTTGCTTTGTTCGCGCACAGTGAAGCAACAAAAGTGATAGCTCAGTGTCCGGGCGCTCGCTTCAATATACTCGAGCAACCTGAGTTGAAATCCCGGTGCCGATAACCAATGAAATTATCAAGTGCTAACTTATCACGTGCTCAGAAGTGACGGAAAAAATCTTGAGGAAACCTGCATATTTCTGACATAATTATGTGAAGTCCGCCAATACGCAGTGCAGTCGCGTGGTGGACTATGCCCTAATACCCTCTGTACAGAGGAGGCCTTTGCCCAGCAGTAGGGTTACATAAGTAGGTTGTTATTTTGCTTAACACTTTTTTTTAATTTTGTGCACATTATTTGTGGTATTACAACGATATCTTTTGGACCTGATTAAGAACTCAAACAACACAACAAATATTAATGTCATTGTAGAGAAGGGATATTCTTAAAATTATATTATGTATTTTATGTTTAAAATATCTGCCTGTTGTAATTTAAAAATTAAATAATAGCATTTAATTTCATATGGATATCACCTAATATGTCTTTTGAAAGAGAAAAGTAACTAGTAATAAGTACAATATTTAAATTAACACGTCTGAATGATAAACAATAAGTAAAGAAACAGAAAGGCTTTGACGTATTTTTATATCGGTACAAGGCAAGCAAAGAATAATGTAACTGTAAGAATGTGCAAAATTGATTGTAAAGTATCAGTTTACTTTACAATCAATATGTAAAATAGTTAAGAAAACAGTCCCAAGTTTATCTACTCTAATCCTTACATTTTGTACTCGCCGAAAATAATATTTAGCAATGTTAATCATTTTCGTTCTGATAAATTGTCGGAATGAGGATAAACTTTCAGATTATTCGTTGCAAATGTAATAATGAACAGTAATTTACCGAGTTTCGGTTACAAAATGTGGTGTCTTTGCGTTACAAGGAGCGTGCAGCTGTGTACAACGAATGTTCGAATTTTTATGAGTTTGTTTGGCATTTTAATATAAAGTATGTGTTATACGTTGAGATTTTCGTCGGTGTGAATATATACCGTTTGACTCAGTGGTTAGAGCGTCGGACGCATAGCTCGGAGGATGCAGGTTCAAATCCTCGAAACGGCGAAAAACTTATCGTCCCTTTTTCTACAAATTTTAAGTAAAGTATTTTTCTTATGAACGATCGTGGGTTATTTATTCGATTCCATCGGGAAAAAATGTAGAGTGATTAGGTTTTTTATTTGGTGTTACATTTTAGAGTTATAATCTTTCAGTATAACTATAATAGACTAAAAATAACACAACCTGACAACTGAAATGACATTTAACAAGCCATTTGACAACCGATTAATTAATTTCTACATTGATTAGTCTCTCAGAAACCGGGCGTTAGTAATGTTTATTATTAATGTGTAAACTCTGACAGTAATAATTTTTGTCTCTTATAAACGTAACAATTTACGAAATGTACAAGTTATACTTGTTAACTTGATGTTTTAATTAGTGCACGTTACATACCTCTCTTGTTTCGATGTTAACGCAATAAACTGCCCGAATGTCTTTAATTAGACCAGTCGCCGATACCTTTCGTTTTAACGAGATATATCGGACTCGTTACAGAAATTGAGTTAGTGATATATAATTAAAAATTAATTTTATAATTTAGCGTGTAAAAAGATTTTATTACATAATTTTTTTGCAGCCTAACACTGTATATTCGATGAAATTTACGATGTTTTTCGATCAGAGTTTTTATCTAAAAAGCATCACGAAATCATTTAATAACAGTCCGCATACGAATTCTTTCGAATTAACTTTATAAATATGAATTATTGATCCAATATTTACAAGATTAAATCTATCTAAAAGTACATATTGCCTTATTAGGCAATATGTACTTTTAGATAGATTTTAGGTACTTTAGGTCCGTGGGGTCCCCGCACATCAACATTTTTTAAAAGTTTATGTCCTACGCCGCGGCTGGTGACAAGAGAGCTGGTTCTTTTCTCGCTCAAAGGTTAAGCATAACTATTCAGCGAGGAAATGCAGCTAGAGTTCTTGGCACCATGCCGCGTGGATTAGGTTTATTAGATAACATGTAATTTTATATGAATAACTATCTCATCGTAGATAATACGTTGATAAAAAATATACAAAATTCGACCCGTTTAAATGAGTTACAAAGCTTCATGTTACAGTTCGTAATAAATGAAAACAACAACAAATGAAAGAGAGTATTACAAGAGTTATTGCTATTGCTTTTTAAATTTTATTTTTGAATATAATTACGAAACATAACGAGTGCAACTTATCGTGATTTACTTTTGCATTCCATTGTTTAGTTTATCTGGAGCAAGCAAAAGTTGTAATAGTTTTAAGAATTGAAATGTCAACGTAGATTGAGTATTGAATATTGTTTCATTCAATTGTAAAAGCCACCAAATCGTTTAAACTTTTGACATTACTTTGACAAACATTACAAAAAATTACAATATATTATGGTTTGTGTAGTTTCTTTCATATAGGTAAGTGTCTCCGTTATTACTTTGTAGGGCGATGTTTTTGCTTTTAGTCGTAACGACTAAGTAGGGCTTCATTGGGCACTAGACATAAAGAAAGGCTTAGAAATACAAATACCGTTGGTCGTCTAAAGTTGTAGTGAAAAAGTCGCGCATGTATACAAGCGTGATTTCTAAGAGGGATCAAGGGATCTAATAGTGATTTTAAAGCAGTGATAGAATCTACAAGTCATTTAATCAAATTGTCTTTTCTTTTTAAACATTGCCATTATTGTATGATTTCTACATCCCGTGTTGTAAGGACGCTATTTCACGTGGACAAACAACTAGAGCCAAAAAAATTGTCTGTGGGTCACACAAATAGTTGTCCTGTGTGACAACTGATCCACCGAGACGCCTGAATGTCTATTATAACATTGTAAAAGAAAAAAAGTGAAGCAGGTACACCCTATATACATATTTCCTACAGTTGTCAGGGTGTTCACTCCATTACAACTCGGAATTTACATGTTTTCGAATTTTGTTTTTAGGTATACTGTTTTCCTCACGTAACTATCTTATACTGCTGAGCGATTATTAAATAGGCATTTAATTTGCAACAATTTCACCGGGATTAGAACCACCAGTTGCTCGAGTACAATGATTTTACAAATGAGTGTCTGGCCACTGAAGTACGGCCCCTCACCATTTTGTTTTAATTTATCTATATCACAATGTTGTCGAATGCAGCCGCTGCTACTCTGCGCCGTTGTCTGCGTGTCGGCGTGGTCGAGGCCTTTCTATCCGGTGCACCGAGTGCCTGGGGCTGTGAGAGTGACCAGATTTGCCCCACCTCCCCACCCACCTCCACGCCATCACAGAATTCCGTGTAAGTATACAAGTTCCTCCCCTCGAGATCTAGATTGAAAAACAATGCGGTGTAATGTATTTTATTTAAGCTACACACATTATTATACTTATGTATTTATTTAAATTCACAACATTTACCGATGGGGAAGAAAGGTTTTCGAATGGCAGCCCATCGTAGTTTAGAATGGCCCCTCACTAGATGCAATAACGACCTGTGCAAATGTGCGGGAAGTCGATGGACACAGGTGACTGAGAATCACGCTTTGTGGCAATCTGCTAGGCCTCAAACAGGCCTGAAACAATGATAAATTAAACGTTACAGAACCAAACATACGACCTCTATATTAATTATCAAAGAAACATTTTGCAACAATATGTAATGTGCTTAAATTTAAGTGTTAAAAGTTGAGTCGATCTAAGACTTGTAACCCCACTACTGGACCATAAGCAAGATTATTAGTAAGATTATGCGAATTTCGCCCTTTCAAACCCGTTAGCCGAACGGCATAGTGGATATCGGATCTGTTTTCATCGCCAGGGGGCGTGGGTTTGATCCCCACCACAGGAAAAATATTGTGCGATGTACAGTGTTTTTCTGGTGTCTGGGTGTTTATAATTCTATGATAATTATTATATTCACAAAAAAAAAGCTTGTTTATCAGTTACCTAATATCCATAGAACAAGCTGTACTTAGTTTGGGAAATATGTCCTGGAATATTATATATTTTTTGGTCCAACGTTGCTAAGCAATCTCATGTAGTATTTATAGAACTGCCATTATAAAAAAATTGTATCAGATCAACACCATGGTTTGATATGAAATTAAGAAAGAGATGCAATTATTGCCCAATTTGTTAAATTACATTTACATTGTGTTTCATAGGTTGTTATTGACGTTTATCTCTCAATCCTGGAAAATTAATCTGTGGTAAATGGTGTTGGTGTCACAATTATTGAACTTGTATTGTTATATTTACTTTAATTATTTTTCTTTATTGTGACACTGTTTATTTATCCCAAATAAAAAAAAAGCAATTGCATTTACATTGGAAATGTCATCTATTTAGTTTAACCTTGGCGTTGTTTAAGAATTCAGGCCAACTTCCAACGTACCAACATTGGACCAACGTATATGTGAGTAAGTGTCACCTTATCAGAGCGATATTCTTTCAGCACCCATCCGGCAAGAGGAGCCCCAATGGCGGCGACCGAAGCGGGACTACGGAGACCACGACCACGACCACGACTACGACCATCGCGGGACCAGCGGCGTCACCGGCCCGGTCCACACGTTCGTGAAGACCGACAAGAACGCAAACTACAAGTGGGGCGTCCGCCACCACGTGGGAAACAAGTACGCGTCCTAGACTCGTTCGGGGAATATTGCTACGCAATCTATTTGGTCCTCGTCTTTGATTTGATAGTTGTACTTGTCGTTTTTTAGTTTTATCCTGTTTTATTGATTGTGATATTATTAGTTTTAAATAAATGTTACTTAGTATAATATCGAGCGATCTTTCCTTTCGTTGAAATTGAAGAAGTAATTTTTTTTTACATAACTCATTAAATAAATGAAAAAAAAAATGCAATAGCAAATGAAAAAAAAATGCAATAGCAAAATTGACATTACTTCATACTCATTATAAAAATATCATTGGAAGTAGTGTGTTTGAAGGAAGTACATTAACGGCCTTTTTAAACGGTTTTATTTAGCTCGACCCGTACGGAATTTATTTATTTATTTGGGTCAAAATTAGAAATTGAAATTTAAGCACCTTCCCGTTGTCAGATTGATCTGAAATTTGGTACACACATTTAATTTAGATGACAATACAATATTGTAGTTTTCAGTGCACATAACATAAAACCGTTTAACTTAAAAGTTTTTAAACGGTTTTATTTAGTATTAAGCTAGCAATAGGAATTTGCTGACATTAGCTGCTAAACAGATATTACTTTAAAACATTTATGCAAACAGTTTTTTCAGATCTCTTTTATGCAATGCAATGATAAAATGTTGGTAGAAAAACCTGCATTTATTTGGCATAAAAACCTTACATGCTTCGAATATAAATTCATACCATTTCTGCTTATTTAGTGATAAGATCTTGTAATAGAGTAAGCAGATACATACATTATTTTTATTACGTATTAATTATAGACTAAGGCATTCAGTAAGCCGAACTTAATGAACCGCTTACAATGTATTTTAGTGGGTGAGCTTGAAACCAATACGATAAATACTTTAAAACGAGTATTTATAATTTGGTGCATTTAGCAGTAATAACAATTAATTATGTTTAGCTAACGTAACATATTAAAATTGGTACAAAAATTTGACTGGACCTCGAGTTATCAACGACATTAGGATGTCAAACAGTCTGTCAAAAAAACATTTAAAAATAAAATTCACGCAATACAAGTAAGAAGGATTCTAGGAGTAAATATGCAATCCGGCATGTTTTAGGATTATGTTGTAATAGTTTTCGGTTAGGATTATATCATTCAGGCCTAACTGCAAGTGTTGTATCACAAATCACTTTCTGAAGTATATATAACATGCAATGCAATGCAATATAACATGCAACTGTACCACGTCACTCGATTTTAAAACAAAACGAGGAAGACGTATTAAAAACAATAATAAAAAAAATAATAATTAAGAGAAAAGCCGAAATAGCTCAGTGTCCGGGCGCTCGTTTTTGATTTAGTAACTCGAGTAACCTGAGTTCGTTTCCCGATACCAAAGAAATTATTGGATTTATCACGTGCTCAACGGTAAAGGAAAACATTATGAGGAACTTGCACATATTCCAGATAAGAAGTATCTATCCTCAGTGGGTCCTCGTTATTGTTTACGCCACGCATTAGTGAGACATAATATTGTAAGGAAAATTTGAATAAAAACACTTGCACACAAAAATTTCCTTATTTCTTTTTTTTTTCTCAGAGATAAAAGATTTTTTTTTTTTTAGTTAGGTTCCTGTTCTATATTTCGAGTTTGTTTTGTAAGTGTTGTGTTTACCTGTAATTTAAATATGTACCTACATATATTATTTACGACTTTAGTATTAAGTTAAACATATTTACATTTCAATGTTCTGTATGTATTTAGTTGGTAAGCCTTAATAAATAATAAACAAAAAATGACAAACATACACTAAAAAAGTTACGAACAAGAAAATGCGTCCGTTACAGTTAGATTAGCGAACTAGCAGAGTTACCGCACTAGTCGAGTGCTAACGAACAATTGATTGACCTGATAGAGTACCATCTTTAGATAGATGGCGGTAGCTTGTCTATCGGAACCATAGACCACAACCATGGACTATAACCATAACCATTTGACCATCTCTTACAATATATATAACTAGGCATTAATGATTTTACAAGTAACAGTAACTTTTTTAAACGAATGCCATTATAAAACAAAAGCATATCGATGCAATCCACCGGACGTAGAGACCGCAACCGCAAATCGTAAAACACGTGCTCGACTGTGTCCGTCATCAATCAGCTATGATTGAGTTCCAAATTACCCACGAAATCTACGGCCTTGATATTATTAACAAGTACCTAAATCCAAGAATTTTATAGCGGAATATTTCATACTAGCTGGGCCCTCGACTTCGTCCGCGTTACTCCCGTACTACCCGTCGTAGCCTAAGTTACTCCTTATTACATCAGCTATCTGTCAGTGAAAGTCTCGTCCAAATCGGTCCAGCCGTTTCTGAGATTAGCCAGAAGAAACAGACAGACAGACAGACAAAAATAGTAAAAAATGTTTTTGGTATATGTACCATGTATACATCCATATACATGTAGTAAAAAGAGGTTATTTTAATATTACAAACAGACACTCCAATTTGATTTATGTGTATAGATAAACACCGATGAAAATGCTACTGATATTCGATCTAATTTAACGACACCGTCGCATATGGAGGTGCTGGTCCAATTTAAATATTGTTTTTCCAGGCAAACATTTAAGTGGACCGAATCTAGCCACGCCCGTTCACGCGAGCGAGATAGTTATGAAATATGCACTAAAGCAAAGATACGCGTACACCTCAACCTGCAATGTACATGCGAAAACGACCGTTATTCGGCGACGTTTAAGGCTGCTGTGGCTTGAAGGTTTGGGGTGGTGCTGGGGAAACTTGTGCGGTGCTCGCTCGCGCGTGTACGAAGCGGTCGCCATTGCTCGGACAGTCGTGTGTGACATAATTTTACAGGTTTCTGTTTGAGGCATTCCGGTCGGCGACATGTCCCGTTCGCGATAAGTAATTCGGACAACGAGTCAAATATAATATTGGATAATTAATTTTTATTATATTCAAACATTTATCTGAACCAATGTGCGAGTATAAGAAAGCCGCTGATGAAACTTAGATAAGTAAGTTAAGATAGTAGTAAACACTATTCCATTAAGGATGCAGAAGTTTAACAGCAATTTTCAATTGTTTTTCTTATATGACGTATTGGTGCAGTAAATGATTCTTTCTCTCTTTCTTTTATAATCCTTACTACTAATATTATAAATGCTAAAGTTTGTTTATATGTATTTATGTATGTTTGTTACTCTTTCACGCAAAAAGTACTGAATGGATTTTAATGAGACTTTACAATAAAATGTCTTATACATCAGAATAACACATACACTATAATTTATAAATACATTGTGTGAATTGTCCAAAATATAACGATAAGTGTCAAGTAAGTAGGAAATATCTGCCGTCTGCGAGCTATTCTGGGCAAAAAGCTCATTATTAATTGCCTTTAATCGCGCGAACGAAGCCGCAGTAAACAGCTAGTAACTGATTAAGAAACCAAAGGTAACTGTAGTACCTTTAACGGTGATTGATTTTTGGCTTGGCAGCACTGCCGACCTTTTAGGATTTTAGAGCTCTGTAGTATCGGAAAATATAATTTTATACCAAGTGGTAGGTTCCACACAGCATTTGTTGCACGAATGGGCAGGCTTTTCCGGGGTACTCACAGCTAAAGTACTTTCGCTGACCTTTTAGGATTTTCAAAAGGTTGTCAACGCACCTACAACGCGGTTAGCGGATCCATCGGAAAGGTGAACCGTCTGCTCACTTGACAACTTTTCTCATATTAAAAAAAAATCAAGAGTAGAAATACTTCTACTTTAATCTAATCAGCTGTGAAGAAATCGTTTCGTTATTGAGCCAGCCCATCAATCCAGCATCGGCTACACCATGTCTAAACAGTTACTTCGAGCAGTGAAGCTGATGGTCTTATTATAATTTATTACGATAATAGGCTTATATGAAAATGAAAGTCTGCCATTTGACATGGCTCCATTTCACTAAATTCATGAATCATATTGTATTATGGACGAATGATACACATTTATTTTAATTACTGATCTATTTGTTAAAATATAAGTCCTACTGGGTCAGTAGATAAACTTGTAATTTTTTTTGATTAACACGACATACTAGTGTCACGCGTATAATTTATAACAGTTTTTTTCATTTATAACTAGTTATTTATTATAACCAGTTTTTCTTTTCTATATTATAACATACACTATCATACACTACATTTATTATTCTATAGTTTCACATAACAATTCTTATTGTGGTAAAGCAACGCATCAGCTCAATCAGCTTAGTTCGAATATAAAACAAATTCACTTTATGTTTTTATGTTTTAAAGTTATGTTTCGTTAAACAGGGCGTTGTGGGACGACTTATTGCTAACATATTTTTTTTAAAACATGCAAGGAAGCTGTACGTACTTTTAGAACAGCGACGTGAATCAGTAATAATCAGCTTTTGCGTTTCCCAAGATGAATGAGGTTGGCAGGGTTAAGACTCTTAGGGTTGGCAACGTAACTACGACCACAACTGAAGTGACGCAGTTGCCAAGTTATTCGTCGTCGGGAGTCGTGGGTTCGATTCCCACACGGGACAACTATTTGTGTGACCCACAGATAGTTGTTTCGCATCTGGGTGTCTGTCCGCGTGAAATTTATGTTTATAAAACGTCCTTAAAACACAGGATAATGTTATCCTAAAGTAAGGACAATGTTTTTGAAAAAAAGTAAAAAAAACTGATCAGCCGTTTCTTAACAAAAAATATTGATTTATTTACAAAACGATGATAGTGATTTAAACAGAGCTTTGCTCCAATGCACCATTATGCTATGTTACAAAACATGTCATGTCACGTTTTGATTTCTTATTTTAACGTGAATATGTTACGTGCGTATAATGTTAATAAAACTATTTTAAAGGGTTCCAAGCGTCGGGAATTGAAAATCTAATCAAACTCGATAATATCCGTCAAATAGTTTCATTTAATAGCGTATCATGGCACGTTATAAAAATAAATA